AAAAAACTGATCAGCTTTTCGGAACTTTCATTTTACATAGAAGTGTTTTGCCTTTTGAGCGATTGAAGCATTCCTATGACGGTTGGAAATGTCAGCACGAAAATTCAGTTATTTTTGGCGCCTCTACGCAGCTTCGGTAAGTCTTAGTGCAGCTGCTTATCTTCCAGTTTTATGTGACTATAACATTTGTCCTCAGCTAAGACAAAAATCAATTCGAATTCTCTTACGCAGATAATTTCTCAATTCGGGACTGAAGAGACGTTACGAAGATCTTTTAGGTGAGCTGAAATACACTGAAGAAGGAACAAGGACCTGATCCATCTAACATTTCACTTCTAAGAAATGGTTGTAGAAAGGCTGAAAATGGATCTTCATCCTTCTCGGTCTCCTGCCATTTTCACACTGACGGCGATTAAAAAGCTGACAAAAATGTTGAGATTGAATCTCTTAAGAAATGTCACCTTGCGCACTTGTTGTGGAGCCCTTCGATGCCATGACACTCAAGAGTACCAAAACAGTAACTTCTGCTGCGGAAAGTCAGTTACACTTACCTTGACACCATTGCTTTTCCTGGAAGGTGGACAACGAAGCTGTGAGAAGGGGGAAGGGACAGGGAGCACGACAAAAGATTATGACGACTTCAAAAAGGAGAAATAACAAGGAGTAGTTAAGCAGTACAAGAGTTTCAAAAAAACTGAAACACATTGTTAGGCAACACAGAAGTACTTGTAAAAATGCAGAATTTGGACCACAAGTTTTATTAAATCAGTCAAGGAATTTCCTGCACCCAATCCCACTTTTCGACCAATGTTAAATAAAGTAATACCGTATATGGGTCAGAAGTCAGATTATAGAATTCTCGATAATATTTCCTTTCCATCCATGAGCTTGACCAAGGCGTCGAGAAGTCCGTTCGGAAGTCATTCTTGAGTTCCACATAAATATTTCCAACTGACAGTGTTAGTGCAATCTAAAAGTATCGGAATTTTTTACACATGTATGTTAAAACTATTCATGTCCGCAACTGTGAAATGGAGTAGAAGCTTCGCAATTTGGACCTTGGCGTGGCAGAATTCTCTGTCACTAATTTTGTGCACGGCGTGACAGTACTGCAGTTATCTTAATATTTTCATTTGTTGCGACATAAGTCATAACATTTAAAACTCAGGCTGGGATGCACCGGGCGGGCCCGTGCGATCATGCTTTTTTGCACCGGACTTAAATTACAGGTCATTAACTGTACGAATTGCTATTGCTTTACACCTACCTGTTACGATCACTAGCATAAATCACCATAAATTTTGCAAAGTAAATGTACAATTTTCATCAAACAGTCGTTTTTTAAAAGTAACTTAATTGTTCAGTGAAAAATTTTTCCACCAGGACTTTTAAGTGCCCGTACTTAAGAACCACGCATACCTCAAGGCTGAATTTGAAATGCGTAAGTTATACTTGGACAGGGAACATTTCCTCAAAATTTTAGCTTTCAAGCTTCCCTGGTACCCGAGTTAACAATTTTCCCCCGAAACTTTCATACGCCCTTACGTGAGTACTACGCACACCTGGGGGCTGAATTTGAAATCTTTAGTTAGTACATGGACA